CTCCCTCCCTCCCTCCCTTCTTTCCCTCCCTCCCTCCCTCCCTCCCTCCCTCTCTCTCTCTTTCTTTCTTTCTTTCTTTCTTTCTTTCTTTCTTTCTTTCTTTCTTTCTTTCTTTCTTTCTTTCTTCTTGGAGAACAGGAATTTGGTTTTCTTTAAAACTTTTTTTTATAGATTTTAATGTCATTTGCAAAAATGGAATATTTTGTGCAAATCAGGTCAGTGAGAAATTAATATATCTACCCAAATAAAGGCCATTAACAAAGATTAAGTTAGGTTAAGAATATAGTCTTGATACAATTCCATTATATGAAATCTAATTTGAAAAGTTGTAGCTTCTCATGAGTTATTTATGTAGCACAGCAAATGTAGGCGTATTAAGGAAAATTGAGGAGCACACCCAAGGATGGGGGCGACTCCAAGGGAGAAATACACTTGTGACTTTTAATTCTTCTATTTAATTACAGAACCTGTTGGCTGAAAAAGTGGAACAGCTGATGGAATGGAGTTCCAGGCGCTCGATCTTCCGAATGAATGGTGACAAGTTCCGAAAGTTTGTAAAGGCCCCGCCTCGGAACTACTCTATGATTGTTATGTTCACTGCTCTCCAGCCTCAGCGGCAGTGCTCTGTTTGCAGGTGATTTTTATCTATTTAAAACCTAGAAAAGGCAGAAGTCCTAGCTTACATGCTCATGTATATTAAGATACACATGTATAAAAAAGTTCAGTAATTTTTAGTGTAATATGTAACTGAGTTGAAAAGTAAGCTATAAATCAGGATATTGACTAATATATAAGTATTTATTAAAAGTGGCTTTTCATCATTATGTCTTAACTTTTTGTTTTATAGGTCAGTGAGTTGTATCTGTGGTCTATGAAGTAGTTCCCTGGTGCACTTTCTTTTAAAAGTTCTATAATAGGGATTCTTGTTTTCCTAGGGAGGTCCATTTACTTTTTGGTTCTGCTAATCATTAAAAACTTCTTACTAGATGACAGAGCTGAACAGTTTAAAAGGAATTAAGTTTTGCTTTGGATAAGAACAAATATAATTCATGTGTTGTGCATATTGAGATAATTGGTTTTGTGTTCTGGGCTCTGCAGTAGTTGAAGGGAGGTGGCTCAAAGTAGATTAAGGCTCTAAGGCTGAGATAAAGCTCTCAGATGTACCCACATAAGAAACCACCTCCTAATAGCATATTCAGCTCTCAATTTATCAGTGGATCAAACCACACACACACACACACACACACACACACATAAATGTGCACACACACTATACACACACACACACACACACACACATAATGTGCACACACACTACACACACACACACACACACACACACACACACACACACACACACACACACATGAAGTTAGGAGTGCTTATGATCAGTACCCAGTAACTTTTCAGTAATGCCAGCAGCTGCACACATAATGCCTGGAACACAGGAGTCTGGGGGATATAGTCAAACCGTAGTTTACAGATATGGCTTCTCTAGCATCTTCTAGTAGTCTTACCTGCCAAAGCTACCATACCACATTGTAAGCAGATATTTGGTATTGATCTGTCAAGATAGAGGGGATTAAATTACAGTATTTTTACAGCCTTGCCTATTCTATATTCCACTTCATGCCTTGAATTTGGCAGCTCTATAATTGATTTTCCATTTGTATAATTTTGTTATTTCAAGAATGTTATGTAAATTTAATCATTGTAGAACCTTTTGGAATTGCCTTTCTTTCTTAGTTAGCATAATTCCTTCAGATACCATCCAGATTATTGCATTTTTTTCAACATCTTGTTCTTTTTATTACTGAGTAATAATTTCATGTTGCAGATGTTCTGCAATTCATTTATCAGTATGTCTGTGCTAGGCCACAATCAAAAGGCAGGCATACTATTTTGAAAAGTTACCTGTAGGCTATTTGTGTCAGGTGCATTAGATATACTATGAAACAAATGATTTTCATATGTGGATTTGATCCCTCTTTCCAAGTTCTTTTATGTATATACTAAAAAATATGAAATAATCCTAAATCCAGAGCATTTATTATCATAGACATCATGGCTAAGGCATATTTAGCTTGTTCAAATAAAATAATTGATTATTTTCATAGTGGCTCATGATAATTAATGCCTTTTTATGTTTTTTAATACTGAACATCTTTTGTGTGTGTGTTTGTTGTCTGGATACCTGTTCATGTCTTTTGCATGTAGCTAAATGATTGTTCGGAGTAAATTCTATGCCATCATTTATATGTGTTTGTTGCATGTGTATGAAGCTCATTGTATATGTAGCTAAGGCTAATCTGAAACTAGCAGTGTGGTCTTGGCTGGCCTTGAATTTGCACTCTAGTGTCAGGATTGCAGGTATGTGTCTCTATGCCTCATTTTATATGTTTGCATTATGAGCTATTCCCCAAAGAGCATTGTAGACACTTTGAAATGTCACCCTGTCAGCAGTGACTTCTCTTTTTTTCCCCAGGTGATGATGTTTTTCTGCTTTTTTCTATGTCAGTTTAATTTTGGATGGTTTCTACATGCCCTTTGTAATATTTCACAAATTCTTATAGTCTTATAAAAGTTGCTAGTCATTTTTCAAGAATTTGCTCTCTGTTTGGAGACATTGCTGCCTTTTTCTTCTCTCCAAGGAAGACACAGCTTTTGGTAGCACCAAGTGATGTTTTCATATGGCCCCTGGAAGGCTGGTGGCTGAGCTCCCTTCACAGTCAGCTTATTCTCAAATTTCAGAATTCAATTCTCACCTCCCTCCCAGTTAACGTCAAAGACCTTGGCCACATAAAATTGCTAATTATGATTATTCAATACAATTCTCACCTTCTTTAAGTGTTAGCTCCAAACTTCCTTTGCTAAATCATACTGTAGAGAATATTCCCATAATTGCTTAGATGTGTTCTTGCACGAATTTACTCATCTCCAGAACTGACTTTTCCAGGAACAAAGTAGCTTTTTTTAAGGGTGTTGTTATGGATCAGTAGATTTTTAAAAAATCAAAATAAAGAAAAGTAAGCACTTTTATTTTAGTATCAAGCAAAGTTTATATATAAACACAACTCTGATAATATGAGATTAATGTAGTATTGTATTTCAATTAAAACATAGGAAATTACAATTATATTTTGATCAGATATTGACTGGCTACATGTATATGTGTATATGTAGCTGGACTTTTGGCTACTCTATTGGATTCTTCCTGCCTCCATGCACCACTTCTATCCCTCCCAAACCCCCAACACATAGGTAGGAGACAACAAAGGTTAGATGGAAAGGGGTGGTAGTCAATATCGTTAGACTACTTCTTGGTGATTATAGGTGTCATGTTCCTTGAGGCAAATAGACACATACACACACATATATGCTTATAGCCAACTGAGATTGAGTTTCTTGCTTCGGTTATTTCTTACTTTTAAGAAACAGATAAGGTGTTTTAGTGATGTGGTGTACATTTCTCCCATGATCAGGAATACAAACAGTATGTATATCAAAGCCTTACCCCAAAGCAAAACCAAACAGATACATAGCAATAGTCAGACACAAGTCTTTTGAAGGTATTTTTTGTCAGTTGTTACTGTAAACTTGACATAAAGTACTCAGGAATAATCATACCACAGCTGGCTTTACTGCTCTAATACTGATTCTCTTTATTAGGTAGCTCCTTTGTCTACATGACAGATTTGAGCAAAGCAACTGACAGGAGGAAAACTAAGTTTGGTTCATGGCAAAGTGAGTGTGGAAGAGCAGTGCAGCTTGCATCTCAGTGGCAGGGCCTACAGAGGGCAGGGATAACTCTGCTCCTGGGCTTCTTGTTTTTTTCCACTTCATTCTCTTCTGGTCCCCAGTCAGTGGGACAGTACAACTCACAGTTAGGGTGGGTCTTCCCCCTTTTTTGTTTCTGTTTTTCTTTTTGTTTTAGCTGTTCTCGAACTCATTATATAGACTAGGCTGCCCTGGAATTCCTCGTGAACCACCTACCATGGCTTCCAAAGTGCTGGGATTAAAGTCCTGTGCCACCAAGCCTCGCTGCGTCTTTTCTCTAGGCATACTGATGGAAATGCCATCACAGACTCATCTTCAAGTATGCTTCTTAGTTATTTAAGTATCTTTCTGTGCACTGAAGTTGATAAGATTATACCAATCACAGTAGGTATGTTCTTAATAAAGTTTGTATTTTTAATTTGTTCACTGATTGTTTTCTATCCATAATTTAAATTTTGTGTTTAAAAAAATTGTGTTTCTAGAATGTATTGAAGTGTCTTGGACAAGTAACTATTTCTTCTTTGACACATCAAATTAATTAATCTGTTGATTTAGTCATCATAAAACTGTTGTTACTATTTTTACTTTATATGTGATATAATTTTCCTCTGAATTATGCATATAGACTTTAAAAGATTGCTCAGTGAGAAAGTGTTATATCATTTTGTTTCTTTGCTACCTGTATGTTAGTCACCTTGGCATTTCGATGTTACTCAACTATTCATACTACTTAATGTATACTTAATATTTTTTACACATTTCCAATTAGGATATACATATATTTAAAGCAGATTTTTACTGTTGTTTTCAATGTTTATTTTGATAAAGGGAGGCAAAGTGGATATGTAAGGAAAGCAGAGTAGGCATTGATATAGTCAGTGACATGTAAACCTTTTATGTTTTGACATATCTCTTGTGAAAGACCTTGTGTAATATCCCATGCAAGCAGTGTTTAGAGCTTGGCTCAGGGGAAATGACTGGATTACGACAGCTATGATTTCATGAATCGATGAATTCATTGCCAGGTTAAAAATTTGTATAAGCAGTTGATGGGGTTCTAGCAGGTGGGCTTGATTGGAGAAAATAGGTCACTAAGGGTTTGACCTTGGAAGTAATTATGATTTGTCTGTACTCTGCTTCTTGGCCATCCAGTCATATGAAGAGAAGAATAACCTCTTCTCATACTTCTGCGTTTTCTTGTTCTTCCTGCCTTACACAGGAAGCTTCCGCCCAAGCTAATGTGTAATCAACCTGGGTTGGAGTAAAATCTTAGAAACTTTGAGCCAGAGAGTAAATACTCTGTTAGCATGGCTGTATTAGTTTTAGTGAAGAAAATCCTAACACACTAACGAGTTTAGCACAACCAGAAAAACAGTTACAAGCTTTGAAACATGCTGTTGTTTTCTTATTTTCTAACTTTAATACCAGAAGCTTCTTTAATAGGCCTATTGGCTTACTTGAAATCTGTGCAAATCACAATCTCTTTGACGTTATTTGAGGTTCTATGAAGACATACTTTGAGCTAACTATATAATATATGTTTATCTGTATGTCATTTATCATAAATGCATAACTATAAAGATATACTCTTATATCTTATGAACTTGTTATATGATAGGGAATTTGAATAATGTTATAAAGAGAAACTACTTTTTAAAACATCCCTTAAAATGCTTTAAAGGTGAAAATTACATTCATCTTTGGAAATATATTAAATATATAGAATTATAGATGAGTTAATAATCATTTTGGTTTTACATAACCTTTAAAAAGAGTATAATGTAAAAAATTATAGCATTTGAATTAAGTGATTTTTTTTTTTTGTTCTCTAATAAAAAATGGAGAAGATTTAATAGG